CGAGCCAAGAAATTGACAAAAACGACCAAGACAACTAAGACAATTACCGCCCCGAAGTCCCGCACTCCTTCGTCGGCCGCCAAGCAAGGTTATAAGAGGGCAAAGATCGAGGCTGGAGGCAAGCCGTCTCCGTCGAGCCCGATTTCTTACGACGACAAGGCGACGGCGATAGACGACGGCAGCATGGACGAGGGTGAGGAAGATGAGGTGGGCGAGCAGAGCGAAAGCTGGCATCCGGGATCGAGAAAGAAATACCGCGCCAAGAATCGGGAAGCAGCAAAGCGATGCCGGGAAAAGACGAAACAGTATGAGGAAGATCTTGCGGTCAAGAGTCGGGAAATTGAACAACAGCGGATGTACTTAGATGAGTGCGTAACGGCACTTCAGAGCGAGGTGCTGGCCCTCAAGAACCAAATCCTACAGCATGGCGACTGCGACTGCGAGCTTATCAACAGATACATCGCCGGAGCCGCGGGCGCTATCAGCGCGGGAGCCACACCAACGGGGTCCCAAGAGTACCATCGATCTGAAAGCAAAGCGATGCCAGCGACGGGCTCTGCCCGAGTCGGGTGGACAACCGCATCTTCACACACACATGATTGGAAAGATGATATGATTTTAAGCGAGTTAGATTAATGTTTGGATGTATGAGAGGGCAGTAAATAAAATGAAGAATACAAGCAACCATGAACGTGATAGCGCTTAGTAAGACCTAGCTTATTCCCTCTTCGTGGAAGGTGCTCAAAAGGGACATCTGGTTATACTTCAGTATACAGACAGCTAAATAACTGTCGCAATTAGCGCAGGCGAGGATATTCGACACGATAAAGCGATAGGCGAGAATAATGGTCAACACAGGAGTTCAGATGGATGAGGATAACCCATGGTAAGAGGATAGACTATTGATTGGAACAGCCCTTTTTCTTAGCGGTAGGTTGAGATGGGTGTTGACAGTGGAAACCGACATTGCTGCGCAGCATGAGCTGAGATACCTTTGCTTTCGTCGTCTGAGTATGGCATTGTCGAGGTTTAGAGCTCGTAAGGCATGCCAGCTTAATCGCAGGGAACGTTTTTCAGCCTCAGCCAGAAAGACGTCTTGTACCGCCAGGCTTTGCTTCTTTTCAGGTGCTGTCGGATCGTTGGGGCGTTCTCGGCAGATGTTAAGACGAGTGTCGATGACGCTATCAGACCTTGTAGAACCTTGTACAGCTGTCTCAGCCAAAGGTGCGAAGGGGATTTTTGAAGAAGAGAGCGAGGTCTTCTGGGGTCTCACGCACATCGTCGATTGATCGTCCGTCGTTGGCAGTGTCGTGGTAGATCGGGCGAGTTGAGGGGTGTTGAAAGCTGCTCCCAAAGGTGCACACCACACATTGTATGCGGGAGTCTGTGCTGCTAGTGCTAGGTGGCGTGGCGTAATGACCGGAGTGTACTCCGGATTCGATCGCAACTTGTGATTGGAAATTGGTCGTGCTGAACCTGCGTGCGCGGCGATGATCCCCAGCTGTCAAATTGGCCGTGGCTTGCTCTAAACCGCGCCCCAGCATGTGCCTCTGACTTATCGGCAACGCTCACCTACTCACACTCCTCGGCGTGCGCTACGCCGGATCTCACGCCGGCTGGAGCTGTTGCAGCAGAGATAGGCCGGCATAGACTGCATAGCACTTTCCTGCACTTCATGTTTCTTCTTGGGGTGTTGTCGGTTGTATTGTCAAAATGAAAAGGGGCACAGCTGGCTGGGACCACGGGCTTCGTGTGTTAGGAAGTCATGGCCATCCGACAGTCACACATGCTCCGTCAGCACCGCGTAAATGCATCGACGTGAGGAACGCTGGCGGGGTTAGGTGGCGTAAGATATGGGTGACAGGGGTGAGTTCAATCATGGTGGTTTTCTGCGGCTGCCCCGTTCGTTGCCCGCTAGATACGGTAACAGCTGTCGGAGTCGTAGGATGTTTTTATGCAGTATGTTCGTGGATGTGTTTGTCGGGGCTTATGGCGATCGACAGGCCTTGAGTAATGGTGAGGATGGGACAAGCAGCTTCAGACAGCAGCGGCGCATGCCACGGCAGGGCCACGGGGGCTATTTCCGTACTGCCATGACTGGCCAAAATTTGCAGCATCTTGTAGCCGCTTGTTTCGACGCCAGCCGTGGGGATTCCTGTCGTGTCCAGTGCGAAGACGTGTGTCCAGGGGACCCTAGGTAGCTCGAGTAGGCGCACGCGCTGTGGCTGCGTGAGTTGTAAATGTTTTCTCGCGCAGCACATGAACAGCTCAAGGGGCATTCTCTGCGTTTTGAGGTCGGTGACACTGTGTTTCTTGGTAACTGAACCCTCTATACTGATGGTCAACGCCGTTCGAGGGTGGGACTGCCATGAAGGAGTATTCGTAGCACCAAGTCGAAACCAAGGAAGCCCGGTTTGGCGAGGCATTGGAAGGGGGATATTCCGGACTTGAGAGACAGAAATATTCCCTTGAATCAGTGCTCATGGACGGGTAGAACGTGCCATTCGAATAGAAGACTGCTGTAGGGGTTCGCTTCCTGTATGGCTGACCCGTGTCGGCGGAGCCAAGCGAGGACGGCTCGCCAGCGATCGACAGAAGGCAACCCTGCTACCACGCCCGGCGGTCTTGGGCCTGGCTTCTGCAAGCAAGGACATCGGAAAACGATAGTAGCGACCCGAGAGGACTCGTGCAGTGTGAAGTCCGGGTTGTAGAAAATACTTACAGGACCTAAAGACGATGGTTTGCGCACAGCATTGGGCGGACTGGTCCGTCGGGGTGAACGAGTTGGGCCGCAGAATGAAGCCGCAAGAACGAACGCTTCCTTGGACTCGGCCGAGTCCTTCCACAGCGTGACCCGGGAACGGTATTCGTACATTGACAGGTTTCGGAAACGAGTAGGTTTTATTTGATGGTCGGGGGTGTGGTGGTGAGGAGTGCTGGGAAGATGGTGATGGAGTCGGGGTGAACCTACTGTTGGAGCCTGCTATTGGATGGCCATTGTTGCCCTGGACCGTTGTTGCAGGACGGACAGGCGGCAGGAGCAGGAGCAGTGGAGGGCAGCGAGGGGGGAAGAGAACCTGGAAGGGACGAGGGTCGTTCAGTTCTTGCTGATTTGACAAATTAGTGACCGGAGGAATGTCCGGGAGCCAATCACATATTCCAGGTCGCCCGGAATGGATTCCGGAAGCCCAGGCATCCGCCACTGGCCAGATCCCTACTCGTCCCTGCAACTAGGTAAGGTACGCAGCTTGGAATCTTGCCCACCTAAGGTAAACAACCATCAGCCGTGAACGAACTTGGTCGCGGTTTCTTTGCTTGGGTCTTTAAATCTCTTTACCTCTTCCTCTTCCTCTCTTTCTCCCTCTGTATATGCCGTTGAGGTTCTCGACTGATCAGTCTTTGGTCTCGTACGACTGCCTCTGGTTTTCAGCATTGGTTTTTTCTGTTTCTTTCTCTCAAAACGTCGTTCGTTCAACTTGTTTGGCATCCCCCCCGCAAGGTATCCGCTCCTCCAAGCTTGTCTGCCTATCGCCCTACGTTTGGTTGCCTTTTCCAGCAAAACATGGCAGGACGTGTCAGCTCGCATGTCCCCATCCCTAATGGTGCACCTTGCAATCGACATGGCACAGGTATCCTTTGCGTCATCTCGACTGCCCACCAATTATTCAGCTCATCCCTTCTGGGTGGCTGCAGAGGATGATGGTCAAGGCAGCTGGAGAGTTCTGTTCCATGTCTGAAAGGACGGGAGTCTGAGTGACGGCGCATGTCTTCCGCGGTAAACTCGACACTTTCATGCCTCTGCCGTTTGAAATCGTGCCTAGGTAAGTCAACCAAGCCTCTGCCAACGTCTGGACTGGGGCCAGCCGCAGTCCTGCTTATTACCTACCTAACTTGTCCCTGTTTTTGGAGGGAGCAAAATGGGGTTCGCCCTTCCCACTTCTCCCCGGCCTGCATGGCAGACGCCCACAACCGCTTTCCCATCCATTCAGGGTCCGGTCAAATATGCCCTTGTCCCCAGTTCACTCGTCACCACTTCTAACCCTGGCGCCTCCAATACCACGACCTGCCTCTTCCTGTTAACTTCGGCCTTGCATCCGCCGCCGTCAACCCACCTTTTCGCTACTCGCAGTTTTCGTTAACTCTTGCCTACTCTAGCCCTCCATCCTCACAAGGCGTTTTCATTCCTCAAATCACCTCGGCAATCTTATCCGTCTATCTTTGGGCCAACAGAAAGCTTCACGCAGACTGCCACCCGACTTTTGAGTTTTACCCCGGCGATCCGGTTGCAACTAGAACAAGTTTGATTTGACCCCGAATCATCCACTCCAGTTCGGTAAGGCAATATTCAATGTGTTACGTGGTCAAATCCAGTGTAGACAGAGGCTGACCGGAACAGCAGATAGAGAGACATGGCACATTCAAATCGCCTCGTCTCAGCAACTATGCCGGACACTCGCAGCATATCACAGCCCCTTTATGCCACTCTGCCAGAACAGGACGACCTGCTGTCTCCGACAAATGATTACTCGTGCCGGGGATGGACGGCATGGAACAGCGAGACGAGCGAGTCTGTGCAAAATTCAAACGCGTCTGCCTTGCCATGCTCTTCTCAATGGGACAAAGAGGTACAGGACCATCCGGCATTTGAGACGGAAGGAATGGATAAGAGCTACGGCATTGCAACTTGGGCACCTCCTTCAAATACCTGGCCTGGACACCATCAACAATTGCACCCGTCGTTTACAGCCACTGACAATATTCAAACCCACTGGCCGACTACGGCATGCTCATTTCCAGCCGCATTTGCCGCCCAGCAAACGCCTCTTGGGATGCAAGGACTATCTGCGCGGGAGCCGAGACTGGAACGGCCGCCCATGAAGACGACAAATCCTCGGGCAAACTCTTCGACGACTCGACAGCCCCTGAAGAGGGCCAAGGTCGGGTCCGCAGGCAGAGCATGTGTCACGAACTCAGCCGGTCCCAAAAATGAGACGGCAACGATGGAAAACTACAATGACGAAGACGGGGAGTCCTCTCTGAGCCCGTCCGGCCCGGAGAGAAGAAAGAATTACCGTGTCAAGAACCGCGCTGCCGCCAAACGTTGTCGGGAAAAGACGAAACAGTACGAGTTGGACCTCGCAGCCAAGGAGCAGGAAGTCACCCAGGAACGGATTTATCTTGACGCATACGTGACGGCGCTGAGAAACGAGGTTCTGAGCCTGAAGGATCAGATTCTCCAGCACGGCGACTGCGACTGCGATGTCATTCAGGGGTATATCGCGACAGCCGCCGGCGGGGTGGGGGCGGGCACCTCGACGTATCTGACTGCAAACGAGTTAGCCTGAAAAGCGACCCGTGTGATGGCTACAGAAGTGGCCCATCTCGGATGCAGGTAACGGCAGCACTGACATCAGGGTGGGCATGAAAACAGGGCAAAAGGGCGAGCCCGTTCGTGCAGAGACACAGTTTCGCCGTGAGATTGTGGTCTCCAGGACGCAGCCACGATAGTAAGGGCTTTTCTTTTGATTTATCCCCCAGAGTCACGGGCTGATACTTTTGGTGCTGCTTGGCTGGAAGCTCTGTTTACTGCTTATGCTGGTTTGTGGATTAGAGTTTGTTCCACGGCATGGCTCGATTCGAGATGCCATCCATGCTCTCCCGTTGTTTGTCCGACTATTCCGAGTTTGGAGTGCCATCATGAGTGGCTCGTGGCTGCGAGGCGAACGAGAGCATCTGATTGGTCAAAAATCGGGAGAGGACTTTCGGAATTTCTGCACTTCAGCGACGGGCCCGAGGCAAGCAGGTACGATGAAGGTACCTAAGGTAGCCTCGGGCGGGGAGATGTACCTCCCGTCAGCTGGGCTGCCAGCGACCTGACCGCTGTAAACCACGAGGCCTCGATCCAGCATGGTTTGCACGAGATGGACATGTTTATCTGTCTCGCTCTCTCATCTTGCCATTCTTTCCTCCATCGACCCCGTCTCATCTTGCCCGTCTCCCTTCCCCTCTTCTTTTCTTTTTTTCTTTTTTTTCCCTCTCTATTTTTCTCTTTCTCTTCAAAAAGCATGCCGAGCGACGCTGGGCACACCAAAGCCCAAAATGCCCCGGGAGCAACCCCCCCGCGTGCACATGGGTTTCAGTGGACAAAAGAGAGACCACAGGAGGTCGGAAGCGTCCAATCCTGAATGTCTGACAGGAACCGACAGCTAGGGTCCCGATGCGCCAGCAAACTCTCGATAGCCACGGCGGCCCTTCGAGCCCAGCGGCACTCCTGGGCACCCTGGTCATTTGCAGGTAGGTGGGCAGATTGCACTGCTGTTGCTATGCAGCTCTTCCCAGCCGTCCGCCCGCCTAGGCCCTGGCCAGAAGAGTCCATGGGTTTGGGGAACTTTGCAGGCTAACTTTAACAACCCATCTTGATTCCATACCTTTGTCTTTAAATTTTCTTTACTTAATTTTTGTTTTTTTCCCTCTCATTCGCTGCCATGGGAAAGCCACGATAGCCCGCCGCCAGGTAGTAAGGAAGGCTTTTGGACCCGGCATCGGAACAATTAGATGCCCAACAAGACCTACCTTACCTTGCTTGCCTTACCTACCGACCTTGCCTCCCATCGGTCGAGGAGCACTCCCGTCCTGTGCCCGCCGTTCCTCAGCCCGCCAGCGGATTGGTAGGCGGCTGGAGCCCAGTCTACCTAGTCTGTTCTGCCCCCATCGTTCCAGCGCAGCAAACCTACCCACCTCTGCACACTTCCTGTTGCTAGGTGCATAGTCAGCCCGGCCTGCCACGAAGTGCGGAAATAGGGCCACCACCGCCTCTGAGGTCATCTCGTCATACCTGTCTCTCAAGAGCTCCAAGGAAATCCGACCCTGACCGGGGTTTTCCAGAACGCAACCTCAGCCGAGCGAGAGGGAGAAAAAAACACAACAAGGCACACGACACGAGCGAGACACGCCAGACCATTCTCAATTTTTAACAGCATGGCCGGCGGGTCGACAGTATGACACGCACCGTCAAGGCACTTGAGAGTTCTTTAGCGACGCGGCGAGCGGATCTGCTTCTGGACTTGCGGTTGTGGCCCGCTCTGCCCTCTCTCGATTCGTCCACTGGCGCCATTCCAATTGCTGTGAGGGTGCAGATCTCGCCGTGTCAGCTACACGCCCACCAGAAACTAAACCCAGACGCATTCCTAGACGACACTCTCCAGCCCTTGGCTAACCTGGGAGAATCCCAGGCCCTCCCATGGTCCCAGGTCTGAGGTCGAGGTTACCCAAATCATGAAACCACAGCGTGAGCTCCTGCCCGCAGGCCCAGCGGCAGCCAGCAGTGCTTCTTCCGAGCGAGAGTTGACCCCGCAATCTGCCACCGGTGCTGGTGGTGTTGGTTCCTCGTCCGCCCCGAGACGTCGCCCCCAGACAAAAATCGCATGCACTTCATGTCGCCGGAGGAAGTCGAAATGTGACGGCCAACGTCCCGTCTGCTCATTATGTGCCGGTATGGGCCGCACCAAGTGCGAATACGATGCAGGCCCCGACGTCACCCGCTTCGCCGCCCTCAAATCTAGACACGAGGAGTTGCAACACCGTGTCTCTCTCTTCGAAGAGCTCTTCCGCCTCCTATCCATGCGCTCCGAGGCCGAATCTGTCGAAATCATCCGCCGTGTGCGCACCACAAACATCGAGACAGACCTGGACGACCTCATCAAGTTTATCAAAAACGCAGACTTATTGATCCAGCTGGCCTCGACCCAGTCAGCAGAGGCCTCCCCCGCATCAGGAACGGATTTTGGACCCCACGGTCCCTTACCAATGGACGAATTTTCGTCCCTGGTCGAATTATTGTGAATATCCCTGATCCGATGGTTTTCCTCTGCTGCAAGTTTTGGCTAACCTTCAGACGCAGAAAGTCGGCCATTTCCAAGCTCGATCCAGCGGCACGGACCGCATTCATGGACGCGATAAGAATCCAAGTAGAGGCACTCACCGCGAGCCAAGACCTTCGCCTGGATTCAGCCGCAGCGACCAAGGGCGAGGCAATGACGGATGGAGACACGGATACCGAACTGGACGGAGTGCCACACGCCAGACCCGGAGGCTTTCTGAAAGGGCTATTGAACGAAGATCCGAACGGACCAAATTGAAGGCTGTCTTCGCTTCCAAAACGTCTTTGTCGCCTCTCGCACGGTATTGAGGATGTCACGAATTCATGGAGCAGACTGACCACAGGCGATTCAAGGGCTATATGCGTGTCCCCAACGCCTTTCGATGAAGAGAACGCGCAAGGAGCGTTGAAAGCCAGGAAATGATTTGCTCGTGGCGGACACGAGCTTTCCCCATGCTCATGGCCCGTCAAAAATAATCGATTTTGATCATTCGGCCAGTCGGCTATGTCATGTTTTGGGCGGCGCCAGGCGCGGGAAGATTGATGATGAGCTGAATGGGAAGATGTTGAGTTCAACGGCTTGGCCTCAACTCAGCCGGCTTAGGTCGACCCTTACCCCGGATCTCCTTTGGAAATGCGATAGAACGCATAGGGCGACTGAGATGATACAGATGCATGTGTTACGGCTATTGTTTTATGACTGTCCCTGGCCCAGCAAGGCGGCGGATACAAGTTGAGAATCCGAGATGCCCGTCATGCTGATAGGGGCGGGAAAGTGTCTCAGCACGCCGAAGAATCATATATTCGGCTGGCGGCAAACCAAATGGAAAAGCATGTTCAGAGTAAACAGCGGAATGCTTCTGCAACCCGTTCGCACACGGCGACCTGAATGCCAAGAAACGAGGCGCCTTCACAGAGCCAGCTCTTGATGACGAAGCCATGTGTTACGCTCATATTTTCAGTCACTAAGTCCGAGCTTGGCAAGCACGTACCTCGAAAACATTGACGGGGTCGGTAGTCTGCCATATATCGACGCGCTGCAGCTTTTCAGTCGCCGTTCTGAACTAATGATCAACGGCGTTACCAAGCGATAGCCCAGCCCTACGGCGCGCCGACGCCTCGGGCCGACTGCTACATTAACTGGGATGATTCCCGAGACGCCATTGATTGCAATGACAGTCGCGGTTGTTTTTCAGCCCAGAATTCATGATGGTGCGCTGATTGCCTCTTGAAAGCGGTTGTGTGAATACGCACAACGCACGACACAACGATCGCGATCGGGTGACTGTACGACTGACCAATTTACTTGGACCGCTGGGCCTAGGCCTTCGCCTAAAATACGATATGAAGTCCGATGTCGTACGGGAGATGGGGAATCGACCAGCATGGCAGCATAGCCGCGTTGCTTGCTTGCGTGCGTGCGTGCGCGGGGTTGGTCGGCGGCACGGCAGCAGGCATGGCATGCGAGTGAGAGCGAGGGGGGAAACTGTGACTGCGAGCATGTGGCTGGCAGAGCTGATTTTCATGGCCAACAACAAAAACCTTCTACACCTCAGCTTGGAAAGAACCCTGGCAAACAGGCCATATCAGGTATGTCTTTTGCAGTGTTCGGCCGAGCACTGACTCGTTTCGGTTCCGACTGACTGACAGACACGTTGCTGACGTCCAGCTGAACATGGACTATCCCGTCTGGAGCACGTTTTCTTTGCGGTGTGATTCCCCGCCCCGTGTTCGGAGACTCCGCCAGAAGATTCACGATACTGAGATGGCTGTCTCCCGCGGCTGCAAATTTTGGTGTTTTTCTCCTGTTGAGCGGTCTGCTGCATTTTCTTTTCACGTACGGTTGTTGCGGCTTTTACAAAAGAAACGGGGCCAAGGATAACCCCAGACGCAGATTTGGGCCCAGCCCTTGTCCAGTGTCGATAAACAGCAAGGCAGGCGTACCCGACCCAAGCTGTCCATGTGTCTTACCAGCACCACAGTGTCGGTTGCGTGTGAAACTGTTAGCGGATCTGGACCGTGACCGGCAGGCAAGACTGTCTGTTGATGGGGACTGACGTAAGTATCCAGATGGCATGGCCCGAGCTCCAAGTCATCGAGATGGAAGAGGTTCGCGTATTACGTAATGAAAATCGGGTAAAGCGCGGCTCATCATCGTTCAACGACGGAAAAGCACGTGCCAGTTAAATACGCGAATCGGCCGGAGCCGGACAATCGAGCGAAGGCAGCTGTCATCGGCGTTTGGCGAGTAGCGGGAGAGCGGGGGTTTTGCGGCATGCCTTCGGTTGGCGGTGGGCAGGTCAAAGGAATAAAAAAGGGCCCAGCAAATGGATATGAGCAGGCGGTGGACTACCTACCTACCGGTGCCGCCGCCGATGCCGCTACTGCCCGCCGCCCGCCGGGAACACATGTCCCAGGTATGTTTCCGTTACTAATTCCCGGACGTCACGACTCTCTTCCTTCAATGAGTCACCTGCCGTTGCTTCGAGAAAAGATAGGCGCCACGGGATCTCGATGAGCTAGAGACGGCCATATAGGTGAATCGGCCAAGAGATGCAAAAGGTCATTGAGGGCGTAATCGACTTTTGGCAAAATGCGATGAATCGTTGCGGAAAGGTCCAGAGACTGGAATGATGTAAGTTGCAGGCGAGATGCGCCGCTTTGAGGTGACGTTTGCATCATGGATGTCCGTTCGGTCGTTTGTTGGTGTTCACTGGCGGCATTGGGGGTCGCTTTTCGTCTTGCAGTATACGGCATTCCGCGCGGGACGTCAGGGTTGCTTTATACAGCTTTCCCAAAGACGACTGCAGTTTGCTGCCATTTTATTCGGCTGTCCGCGTGGACCTGCTGCCTCTGTTTGGTGGTTGGATGACCTTGTCCGCCGGACCTGACCGAACGGTTCGGCTTCGGCCACTGTTAAAATGAACGAACCCAGGGTTCGGCTTCGGTTGAAGGATGTGTCGTTTGGTTCAAGACCGGGGTTGTTTTTGGTTGGTGGGGAAGGAAAAAAAGGGTTCTTGGGGTGGAGGGAGGAAAAGGGAAAACCACGACTAAGTGAAATAACGCCATTGGCCAGTTTCGTTCCGGTTTCTGGTTTTCCTTGAGCCGCCCTTCCGCACCCTGGACTAACTAACATGGCCATGCGCCTGGGACATGTGCGTCTCGTCTTTCTCTAACTCTATAGAGACAACGGGGATCAGGAGGGGTGGCATGAGACGAGAATTGGTGAGATGCCTGACAGGCACGCACGCAGAGAGAGAAAGAGATGATGCGGAGGATGGGCATTCGCAGTCTTTCTGAACTGTGGTTCCCCATGAGGAAGCGGGAGCCGACGACTCTGGACAACTCGCAACCTGACGTGCAACCCAACCTGTCCACCCCGGTTGATCGAAGGAACTGGAACCTCAACCTAGTCTTGCTCCCTGGCCTGGACTATACGACCTTTCCGTGGCATCTGGGGTAAGCGCAGGGACGAGCAACAACCACACAAAAAAACTTTTTCCAATCTCTTTACACTAGTCTCTTCCCGCCTCTTTTTCTCTCTCGGCTCCTCGCGTTTGGATGGAGAAATGACTTAAGACTTGCATCAAATCACCTAACCCACCCAACCTTGTGCGGTTCCTTTTCCACCACCCCCGTTCGTTCCCGCGCCCTTCTCTGACACCCACCTTTTCGAACCGGCCGCCGCCCGCCGACTTAGGAACCGCATGCCACACACACCCCCTCCACTTGTTTCGCTTCGGTTCATTACCCAAGGGGAGTCCCAAGGCGGCCCGAAAACTACAAGTAAGTGTGACTCTGCCCACCTCCCACGACGGGTTTCTGTGGACGTTCGTCTGGGCTGTATGTCTTGTTGAGTTCCCGAAACCTCTTGGGTTGAAATCTTGTCACACCGTTTTATCAGAAACGGTCCTTCGTCTCTCATCATTTTGAACATCTTGTCCATCTGGTTTCCTGTATCGAAAAGGTCTTGCCAGAGAAGTGAGCAGGGTCGGTTTTGTAAGACACACAGAGAGTCTTGTCGAGTAAGAAGTGTTAGGTGCAAGAGAAGGGGAACAAACAGAAGAGACCACATCGGATCCCGAAACCTACAGGCAAGACAGCAGCGAGGAAGAACAGCGCCGGGAAGGGGGTTCTGTACCAGAAACACTTCCAGAAACACAAAATAATATCCTTGTCTTTCTTCTTTCGTTCCGTCTTTTAACACAGGTACACGCACGCACGCCACACACCCCAGATGGACCCGGAAAAGGCAGCACAGACATCCCACCGCCACCACCCCGGGGTCAACGACGACTACAACGACACGGCCACCACACACTCGTCGTACATCGCCCCAGAGGAGCCAGACTACAGCAGCTATGCCTACCCCGTCCCGGACAAGGCTGACTCGGCAGCGCACAACGGCACCGCCGCCTTCGGCAACGACCTGATCCCCTCCGTCTCCAACGCCGTGGCCAACGCCGGCGGGAACACTTACACCAACCTCGGCCACAGCGCCGCCGACGCCAAGGACGGCGACTTCATCAACCACGTGCCCTCGGCGGCGACCACCGCCGCCGCGGAGGAGGAGACGTACCCCGAGGGCGGCCTGCGCGCGTGGTCCGTCGTGCTCGGCTCATGGCTCGCGCTCTTCTCGGCGCTCGGCATCATGAACAGCATCGCCGTGTTCCAGACGTACGTCGCCACGCACCAGCTGCAGGGCTACCGCGAGGGCACCATCGGCTGGATCTTTTCCGTGTACACGTTCCTCTGCTTCTTCGGCGGCATCTACATCGGCCCCGTGTTCGACCGCTGGGGTCCGCGCTGGCTCGTCCTCTCCGGCACGGTGTGTCTCGTCATCGGGGTGATGCTGCTCAGCATCTGCACGCGTAAGTCTCACCCTCTTCCTTTACAAGGAAAGAAATACTGACAAATGACACAGTCTACTGGCACTTCATGCTCGCCTTTGGCATCCTCTGCGGCCTGGGATCCTCCCTCGTCTTCACGCCGTCCATCGCCGCCGTCGGGCACTGGTTCAAGCGCCGCCGCGGCTTCGCCACCGGCATGGCCTCCACGGGCGGCTCCATCGGCGGCATCGTCTTCCCGCTCATGATGCAGTCCCTCTTCCCGCGCCTCGGCTGGGGCTGGACCATCCGCGCCGTCGGCTTCATCTGCCTTGCCCTCTGCGGCGCCTCCAACTTCCTCATCCGCTCCCGCCTCCCGCCGCCCCGCAACGCCTCCCCGCACCCGGACCCGCGCATCTTCCGCTCCGCCGCCTTCAGCCTCACCACCGCCGGCATCTTCCTCATGGAGTTCGCCCTCTTCATCCCGCTAACGTACATCTCCTCCTACGCCCTCAGCCGCGGCTTCAGCGAGTCCTTCGCCTTCCAGATCCTGCCCATCCTCAACGCCGGCAGCGTCCTCGGCCGCGCCCTGCCCGGCTGGTGGGCCGACGTCGCGGGCCCGTTCAACAGCAATCTCGCCGCCATCGTCGTGTCCGTCGTAGCCTGCCTGGCTGTGTGGCTGCCAGCGGGCGGTAGCGCGGCGGGCGTGATCGTGTTCGCGGTGCTTTTCGGCTTCGCGAGCGGGAATAATATCAGCATCTCGCCCGTGTGCGTCGGGCGGCTGTGCAAGACGCAGCACTACGGGCGGTACTACTCGACGACGTACACGTGCGTGTCGGTGGCTTGTCTGGTGGGCATCCCCATCGGCGGCGAGCTGATTACAGCCGCGGGCGGGGAGTACTGGGGCCTCATCGTGTTTACCGGTATTGTGTACGTGTTGGCCTTTGCGGCGCTGCTTGCTGCCAAGATTGTGTGTGTTGGGAAGAATGTTTTTGCTGTTTTTTAAAAGAGATGGACGCGAGATTTCGTTTACTTTTGGGAGAAATCATTCTCAGGCGCAAAGGGATGCAGGGACAAAAAGTCTTTTGGGGGGTTTGGATAACATGATGAATGGCATTTGTACGTAGACCAAGATTGAGAGACAGCCTGTTTGTTTAACGAGAAAATACTTAATGTAATATTATCATGAAAAATGATCAAGTGTCTACGTTCTGCGTCGGTGTCTCGGTATCGCAGCGGCTATCGGTGCCGAAGAGGTCATGATCTGACCAAAAAAGCACCCTTGCTGCATGTTTGATGTTTGCCCGCCCGCCCGTGCCAGGGGCGTAAGCAGTTTGGTCGTGTGAGAGTTTCCAGTTTCCCGCTCTGCCGCCGTGTCGCGAGCTCCGATCCACCCGACGTCCCCGTGCCCAAAATTACCCGGCAGGATCCCTCACGGAAGGAGGGTCGGGTGGGGCGCACGGGCCCCCGTCGGCCCGTAACAGGAAGAGCCCGGCCGCCTGCGAACGGTTAAAACCCTCGTCTCTCTTCCTTCTTTTCTGTCGTTGCTGTTTCTTACTTGTCTGGTCGATTTTTGAGTCGTCTCTCAGCAACGCGTGAGGCAGCCCGTCGGTTACTCTTTTCCTCGAACTGTCCCGGCCTCTTGGGTGTTTACCGGCAGTGATATATCAAGGTGAGTGAGAGTGATGTAAGCTGCGTCATATGGCCGTAGGGCCGAGGTTGAAACGGAGATGGGGACGCCGAGGGTGTGAGTTGATGGCGGGGAGAGAGGACCACATCGGTTATATGCCTCACTCTCAGGGTTCCTTTCTGAAAAGGAAGGGTTTCGGAGATGTGCCTCTGATTTGAAAATTTATAAAGTACCGTCGTGACTAACACCACGGCAGACTCATCCACGCTCACCCCCACCAACCACACACACACCTCACAACCACCACACGCAACAACCTCGCCCATCATGACAACAGAAACCGCCGAGCACCAAGAGGACGCCTACTTCTCCTCCCAACCGCCCCCGAAAAACCTCGACGCCCACGTCTCCGCCGCCCGCGCCTTCATCACGCACCACGCCGCCCTCGCCGGCCGGCGCATCGTCCTCGTCACCTCGGGCGGCACCACCGTGCCCCTCGAGAAGCAGACGGTCCGCTTCATCGACAACTTCTCCGCCGGCACCCGCGGCGCCACCTCCGCCGAGTACTTCCTCGAGGCCGGCTACGCCGTCATCTTCCTGCACCGCCAGTTCTCCCTGCAGCCCTACAGCCGGCACTACTCCCACGCCACCGACTGCTTCCTCGACTTTTTGGCCGAAGGGGACGATGGCACCGTCGTAGCCAACCCCGGCCACCAGGAGCGCATGCGCGCCGTCCTGCGCAAGTACCAGGCCGCCCGCAAGGACAACATGCTGCTCATGCTGCCCTTCACCACCATTACCGACTACCTCTTCGAGCTGCGCGCCATCGCGGGGCTGCTGAGGCCGCTCGGCCCGTCGGCGCTGCTGTACCTCGCCGCCGCGGTGTCGGACTTCTTCCTCCCGCAGGATCGCATGGCGGAGCACAAGATCCAGAGCACCAACGCCACGGACTCTCTTTCTTCTTCATCCAAGCCCGCGCCTCAAAGCCGCAACAACGGCAACGGCGCGCCCTCCGAAGACGAAGAAACATTCGACAACTTCGACTCCTCCCCCGCGATCCCGCGCTCCAAGCGCCTGATCATCGACCTCGACCCCGTGCCCAAGTTCCTGCAGAACCTCGTCGACGGCTGGGCGCCGCAGGGCATGGTCGTCAGCTTCAAGCTCGAGACCGACCCGGCCATCCTCGTGCACAAGGCCAAGTACTCCCTCGAGCGCTACCAGCACCACCTCGTCATCGGCAACCTGCTGTCCACGCGCAAGTGGGAGGTTGTCTTCGTCGCACCGGGCCAGCGGGACAGGTGGGTCCGGGTCCCCAGCGCGCAGCAGGGGCCGCGGGACTCGACGCCGGCGGAGGACAAGCCATTGGACCCTGCTGCGCTGCCGGAGGGCGACCCCGAGGTGGAGATTGAGAGCTTGATCATCCCTGCCGTGCAGGAGCTGCACTCGAAGCACATCCAGTCGTTGCAGAAGTAGACTGTGGTTTAGAAGAGCTGGGGTTTTTCTGTTACACGTAATCGAGGGGGTTAGAGCGAGCGTCACGTATGTAACGGCATAGCGCGCATATATGGTAATGAAAAGCATTGAATACTATTGTTTTTGTTCTAGAAATAAGTGGTGTCTCCAAGCCAATTCGCTACATGATGCTGTGATTTGAAAATAAGATGTTACATGCGTTCTTTTGAGTTTCAAAAACAGCCCTCGACATCTATTGTCGGGAGGAGTTTGACAGACGCCAGGCCCTCATGGGCAGCGACTGCAGGTGCAGGACCTTGGGACGGATGTACAGCATAAAGGTGACGACGCCAAAGACGACGCAGATGATGTTGACGAAGTAGTATCCGTCGCGCACCATGTCGCACGTGCCGCCGCCCTTGACACAGCGCTCCTTGTCGGGCTGGAGAGAGCATGAGAAGGGGTCGGTGACGACCGGGCCCTTGAGAGCGTCGATATCGGCGGGGTTGCCAGGGTGGCAGGTTGCGACGGTGAAGTAGTCGACGAGACGGAGAACGAAGAAGCGCGGGAACGTACCGCCGAGGTTGCAGACGCTGAAGCATGTTAGTATAAAGAAGACGAACGAATGGACAGAAAACTTACGTGGCCAGCAGTGTCATGTAAGTGCCGCCAATGACAGGGTCTGCGATTCTAGCGTGGAACGCTGAGACGGCGACGAACATGACGGTGTTGGTGAAGGTCGAGAAGACGTGCTCTCCAATGACAACAAGCATGTACCAAGAAGTAACGCCACCGGCGGGGAAGATTGTGACGGTGAACTGCGCAATCAGAGCCGCAACGAGACGGCCCATGAAGCCCCAGCACCACAGACGCATCGGGGTGTACTCTTGCGACCACTTTCCGGCGTAGTAGCCAAGCGCAATCTCAAAGGGAAAGTCGATCAGAACAGTCAGAGCCATGTTCTCCTGGCCAAAGCCCTTGTCAATGAGCTTGAGGTTGGTGACGGCATCGTTCGCCTGGAAACCGATCTTGGCGATGAGATGGACGATGATGATGGTCTGGATGTTCTTGAGCTTGAGAACGCCCCACATGATCTTGTACACGTCCCAGATGCCGTCCTCGTTCTTGGTCTTCTCCTCGCGCTTGAACAGAGAAAGGCCGATGGTAATGGCAATGTAGGCCCAGCCCCAGAAGGTGAGATAGCCGCCGAGGTTCATCAGACCCGTGTCAAGCGGGGTGCTGCGGAAGTAGCGGTTGGCAAAGTCCTTGGAGTTGAACGCCAAGAACACCGTGTAGGACAGGAAGTGGCCGGCAGTCAGACCAACAGTTTGCGCAGTGGAAGCATACGAGACATTCCCGGGAGTCAGTAGAGTCAGGGCCCAGCCGTCTACGGCAATATCTTGAGTGGCGCACATAAACACCAAGAAGAACCACCACCCGGTGAAGTTCCACACAGTCGGGCCACCGGGCTTTCCAGTCGTAGCCATCATGTTCTCGACAGTCGAGCCGAGCCACAGCATTCCCAAACCAGAGAGCAGCTGGATGGGGAGAATCCAGCTCTTTCTGCGCCCAACCTTGGGACTCCATACCGCATCGACGATCGGGCTCCACAGGAGCTTCAGCGAGTAGGGATACGACGCCAGACTAAAGATTCCAATCTCGCTGTATGACATGTGATCCTTCATGAGGAACGGCACGGAGCCGCCGGCGAGACCCATGGGAACACCCTGCAAGAAGTACAGCAGCACCAACAGGAGGAAGTTGCGCTGGTCTTGCACGGGCAGCTCGAAGAAGCCATGGTTGTTCGCGATGGGCGTCTTGGGGACTGGGTCGTCGAGGGTGAAGGATTCGCGCGCCATGAGGTTCGCGGTGACGGTGTCGGAGCCTGGGGCTGTCGTCTTCCGCCGATATTCAACGTTGTTCTGATTCATATCGCCGTTGGCGTGACCGTTGGTGCCGTCTGTGTCGACGGCAAGATCGGCCAAAGCTTTGCGCTTCGTGGACTTGTTCCGGCGGGTTCGGACGCTCATTGGTGCTTGGTAATGGTGAATCTGCGGCGTAGTCGTAGGGTGGGGAGCAGCGTGGAGTAGTTGGAAAGAAACAGTAGTATGTAGAGGTTAGAGAAAGAGGTTGGAAAACTTTGTGCGACAAGTCGAGTGTTGTGAGGACAAAAAGTTTGGGTTTCGAGTACGGATCGAGATAAGGTCGAAGGCGGGGTGGAGCAGAGTCCGTGGGAGTCAAGGCGACACTGCTTAAAAAGCAGCTGGAAACCAGTGACAAGCGGAAGAAGCGCTAGGCAGCGGGACGCGCGAAGTTTGTGCGGTCGGGTGTTGGTTTGGTAGGAGTGCGCGCGAGGAAGGCGATGTGTATGTGCCCCGGGACGAGTGGACGGGAAGCGCAACCGTGGCCTTTGACACTTTTGGGGAAAAGCCTGTGGCAACAACAATGAATGAATAATGGTCGGCGGGCCGCTTTATTAGGCTCCAATAAATGACTGTAAGAAGGTTTTTCAATGAGGAAAAATAATGTGACAGAAAAAAAGACCCAAGTCCAAGTGGACTGAGACGCGGAGAAGATTTACCGAAGCAGAGCAAGAAGGCGAAGGCGCTGTGTTCTTGATTGCGACGATACTTGGCGAACAAAGAAGAAAGAGACGGGACGGGGAAGACAGGCGCAGCAAAGAAGCTTATCCTCGTCCACCTCAGTTCCAGTCGCCGACTCGATCCACTCCGCTGCTGGAAAGCCACCCGAAGGGAGCTGCCTCGGGGGACCCCTGGCGCCATGCCTAAAATGGAGAACTGGAGGGCTGATAAGATACCAGATTAGATAAGCCCCCCGCAGGTCAGAGGTCGCATTCCACCACGTCACGATGGCCCGGCCGAATGATGTTTTGTTGATTTGCGCTTCTCGGCAACGAATGTCAACTTCTCAGACGCGTCGTCGCATTGAGCAACCTCAACCGCATCATCGCAACCACCATCCATTCAAGATTTTCTGCAGGAATCAACACACATTGTCGTGCGCATCGTCTTCAACAGAGATCAGCGGGCGCCATGTCGGCTGGACCGCAACCGCAAGACGCGGCTGCCGAGGCCCTCAACCAAGAGATCAAAGACCTCAAGGCCAGACGTAGGTTGCATGTCGAATTGCTATGTGTTAGCTGCTAGCTCACAATGCAACAGTTAAATCTTTGAAAAAGGATGTCAAAATCCAGGCGACGGCTTTGATCTCGGCTGAATCGACGCGACAAGCCCTTCAAGAAACCGACCGCAACCGCGGCGTGCTGGCGCTGCCCTCCAAATCGAGACCAGACCGCGAAGAGATCCTCTCCCGATCGAAAGCCCAAGACGCGCACGACCAACAATGTCTCTACCGCACATGCGCAACCGTCACGACCTTCAAGGTCCAAGATCCCGACCCGAACGCCGTCGACCACGGCAACGTCCTCGGCATCCGCATCGAGCTGATGGCCGACGCGCGCTTCCGAAGACCGTTCTACGTAATGCTCAACCGGCCATACAAGGACTCGCGCCACCTGCGAGTGCACCGCCATACCGTCCCCGTCTGCATCCCGCTCTCAGGACTCGCTGCGCGACACTTGCCCGCTCCGAGACCAGCCGACGCCGAGAGGCAGACGACGCAGGACCTGTCGCGCTTTGTCCGGACGTTGAGAAGGGAGATTGTCCGTTACCACAATCGTATTACTATCATTGGCGACCTGCAAAGAGCTGCAGGGCTGCGCGGCGGTCCGCGAGAGGACGAGTCGGAGCAGGCTGTGGTCAGCATCAGTGCAGCAGATGGCGAAGCGAAGCAGATCAGCCTTGAGTGGGCCGACGGCAGATCAGGCAGATTGGTCATGAGCGAGGATGGGCAAATCCAAAAGGTTGTCGTTCTCGGCAGCGGTGGAAGAGACCGAGAGGTCACGCGAGAGTTGCTTGGAGAGAGCCGTCGCGTCGAAGACGTCGCCAAGTGTCTGACACGCACATGAGACCAGGACAGGAAATCGACATCGCCAATACTTGTCTCTCAAAGCGCAGACTCGATGGTTCGATCAGAGCGGGCTTGTCGATGATGTCTGCAAACATCGATACACAGAAACGAGATGTTGCCTGCGAACTTCCACCGGCACCGTGGCCAACGATAGGGGCTCGTCACGAGATACTCCGACCCTTGAAAAACCGCATTAACCCCCAATCTTACGGATGAGGTGCAGTAATCAACGAAGAGAACACTGCAAACCATATTTGCGAAGCTCTATCAGTCTAGGCTAAGCCCGATCCTCGACTCATGTTGTCTCCGGATCGTCCGGGCCGCGCCCTGACACAAATATAAGCATATTGACCATAATCTGCAGCGCTATGCAGCCAACTCGGTCCTCTCCGACCGCAAAACCTGGGGGTTTCCCAATCAAGACCAGGTTCCCACGAGTTCGGACGGAGCAGATCGCGCGGGGGAAATGAGCTACCCAATCTGTCGATCCCCCAGACTCTTCGGACGAGCTTTCGGCTGATCGCAACCTCCAACGGAAAAAGAACCTGGGGAAAAGAAATTTCACCGCCGTTGGTCCTCGGAGACACCACGGAGATGAGACAACTCCTTCGAAGAGTTCACAAAGGAACGGCGCCGCCACAAGGCCGTTTGGACAGTCAGTGCGAAATTTGGGTCATCGTCGATCACGCTAGAGCAAAATCGCGGAGAGGCAAGCCAGAAGTTGTAAAGAAAGAGCCGGAACCCATTATATTAGCCTTAAACTAATTAAGTTGGGTGTTTAGACGCCAGAGTGCCCCCCAATCCCCCCCTCCGCGCTTTTCTCAGCGCGAAAGTCCCAGAGGAAGAAAGAGCCAACCCAACCCGTCCAAGTTAACCCCGTTTGTCATTCCCAAAGTGAATTCCCATTTCCCCATGTGTCCCGTTTGCCTTTGATATCATTGATTGTGTGTGTCCGCATGAGAAAACCCTTCACCCCGTCTATACACCCCCATTTGAATTGAACAAGAAAAAACAACCAAAAATCTCATAAAAAGTTGTGCAAGTCTAAGTGTGTGATTATTGCAGGTTTTTGTGTATTGTTCAGATGAAGGCGGCGGCAGCGGCGACGGCGGCGAGGACCATGCCGCCGGCGCGCTGGGCGTTGGGAGCAGCGGCGGCGGTGACGACGGCGCGGCTGGTGGTGGCCGTGGGGTTGGGCTTGGTGACGGTGCCGACGTCGGCGGGCTTGGTGGTGGTGGCGGCCGGGGGCGCGGCGGGGGGAGCAGACACCGGGGGGATGACGACGGAGGAGAGGGTGGCCGGGGGAGCGGGCGCGCTGG